CCCCCCCCCCCCAACCACATAATGACTGGAGAGCTGGAGTTTGCCTGAGCATCACGCAAGGCAGGAGGAGGAAGAGCAAATGCTGGGGACGCATAAGCGCTGAACTGACCAAAGAAGGACTGCACAGATGAGACGGGAATTCAAGTTTGTGAAACGAGGCTGCTACGCAGGACAGGAGAAGATATTTAAGTATTTATTGACACTACACAGAATTGTACTTGGTTGGAGGAATGTGTGATTCACTACAAAGCATTATTTTGGAAAGGTTTTGCACCCCACCCATTTCCATCCCATACTGTCAGCTATTTGAAGTGTACTGGTCTTTTATTAGCTGTTTCGAATGGGCTTTTCAAACAACACGTGATACCTGCTGTCGCTACACACAAAAGGCCATTTCGAACGGCGTCGGTAGTGTTCTTGGTTTGAAAAGAGACCTCATCATCTAGCAGCTGTCCCTCCGTCCTCTTATGTGGCTTAGAGACGTCACCAAAGGGAAGGGGAAGCTTGAGATGAGACAACATGGCTCTATTGACCTGCTGATGAAATCAAAAAGTCTTCTGAGCTCTTCTTTGGTTTATATCAATTTACATAAGAAAGACTAAGAGGTAAACGGGAGAGAGTTTGGCGTGGGCAGGAGGGAACCCCGATACCTGTCCTTTCTTTTGTATCCTTTATTTTGTAATATTGAAAACACGGAGATCTAACAGATATACCAAATGCTATATTTTGTAAATTATATGTATTAGGCTGTCCACACCAGGGTGTGTTGGGATGTGTAAATAACTTGTAGAAACGTATAACATTATTTTCTGAACACAGACTTGGCAGTTTTCAGATTAGTAGTATACAATCAAACAACGGCGGATGAGGTTCCAGGCTGACTCGGAAGCATTTTTTGAGAGAAAATTCAGAAAAACCTACAACCCTAATGAAGAGGAAAATATCCAAGTACAATAAACAATACAAATCATTGTTCAGTGCAGCATTCACGATGAAGTTGGGGTGACAGAGTGCAGTGATTGGAAATACAGTGCATGATAAGTGCCAGTCAGGAGTGGTAGGAAGTCTGACGCAAAGGAACAAAAAATAAGATAATTTTAACTTTTTCTTCTATTTTTTTTGTCATAGCAGCTATTAATAGACTCCTGTCAAGGGGTGGCTAAAAGACTGCAACTGCCATTGGACATCCGAGACTGTGTACTGCATTGCTGGGTTGACTACCTTGTAGTAGACACTTAATTGAATTGGTGACTCATGTTTATTTTCAATTTTAAGAGTTAAGGGATTTTATCTTTTAAAAATGAGATTATAATGGATAATTTGTATGTGGATTCAGGAGACCTTTAAATATAGTGACACAGATATTGTGTTTGACATCCCCCTATCATAAGAGGGGTATATGAATAATCATTGTTATGATTTATGTACCTTTTTTAACTATTAAAAGAAAAAACCCTGGCTATTTTATTAAAAAAAGGAGAAAAGCACTTAAAAAACTGTATTTTTTATATTCTACTAGGGGAGAGTTTTGATATTGAATTTGGCTCTCACTAAAATGACTCAAATGTTTTGACACTGAATAAAGTTCTTTTCAACTCTTCTCAGGGGAAAATTATTGTAGTACTAACAACTTAATGATTGCACTATGGTGGTGATTTATAAAGTAGGGCCTTCATCTTATTTTTCCTACTTTACATCAAGAATAGGTTCAAATCCATGAGCCTGTCCCTAATTAATTTGCCATTTTGCTCAGCGTGTAGCATCAAGCCATTTAAACTTGAGCTTAAATGGCACCTCCCTGTTCCTTCCCCTTCCACTAGGAAACATTCTTGAAAAGTATAGTATATCGACTTCTGTAAAACTGCCAAGTCTGCCCTTGTACTATACTTTTGCTCCTTTACGTTCTTTCTGATTTGCAAAATACTTTTAATTCCATTGCACTATTATACCTTCCTTCCCCTCCCACCCTCCCGTCACTCACCGAGTTTCATTAACATCACTACCTACGTTCATTTTAGGTTTGCTTTCTACTTTACAAAGTCTGTATTTCGATCAGTTCGCTGATCCACTTTTATGCAGCTGTGTTTGATATTTCAAGTCCCAAGTATCTCTGGCTGTGGTTGTTGACAGTGTGTCATGATCATTTCAAGGGGTATACCTACACTCAATTCTGGATCTTGCAAAAATTGAAACAGTTATGATTTCCCATGGAAATTGAAATCTATTTAAGTAATTTAACTACATTAAACACTGTTTCACTGGTACTGTGTCTTTGTTTTCTTTAAAATGCAGCTGGTTAGCAAAGAGCTGGAGCATGTCATCAGAAATATAACATGTACTTATGTGGTGTAACTAAACGGTAATGAACTACATGTGGTGCAAAAAAATGCAGTGTAGTGCTTGAAGGAAATGGTGTGACCAGCTGCATGATCTGGGCTGCCTGCTGTGAAGCACTTGAAATACAGATCCTTTAATTCCTGTTTGCACTGCAAACTCCCCAGCTCCCCGTTATGCGAGACTTCAGGAAAGTTCAAGTACATTTGAGGAATTCTTGTGTCTGGCATGTTTACTGGAGCTGAGTGCTGCTTTTTTTTTTTACGTCAGTAGTTTGGCTGTTCATCATTTTCTTTTCAAGACACAGAAGTGTCAATATGCTGGTTGATCATATGGCTGAAACACATTGCAGAGGGACCTGTGCTACACCTACTAAAACTGAGAGCAGGTTTGGTGTGAAAGCTGTTTTATTGCAGCTAACCCTAGTCGTCTCCCCAGAACTCGAAGGGGGATTAATGTTCTTAAAATAACATCTAAGGCACCAACTGTATGTATGCTGCTGTTTCTTGTTTGCAACGCTGAACAAGATCTCACTTTCCCTTGCTCCCCACCGCCCTCCTGCCTCCAGAAAGTTTTATACTTTAGGCTTAATTCCTAGTAGCCATAGGGGTATTATATTAATTGGAGCATTATATGGTGGAAAAAAGCAGGAGTTTATTTAGACTGACTAAGCACTATCTGTTCAGGGAAAATAAAAGGACAACTGCATTGCAATGAATTAAGACAGTGATTCTCAACCAGGATGCTGTAATCCTTTTAACAGCACCCCCAGGCGTCTCAGTAGCAGCACTGTTGGGTGTGCAAACACCTGGACAGGATCCACCCAGAAATTTCAAATAGAAATCCAGTGTCAAAAGCTTTTTGACCTGTTGAGATCTTAAAACACCTTAACTGCTCTGCTACTGTGCCATTTAACTTGCATTATTTTTGAAACCAGGGATGCTACCAAAAAAAATAAGAGTAAAAGCAAGTGCTATGCAGACTTTCATTTCCGGGCAGTTTCATCTTGCCTCTGTCCCCTCGTTTGCCAAAGGACAATAGGGAGGTTCACTACTCAAGGTAGGAATCCTTAGGCGATAAAAAACAGGTTGGCTCTTTACACTGCTCGCAGCTTGGACATGTATTTTGACAGCTGTAAGTTGTTATTTTGACAGCTGTACATAGTACACAAACTCATTCAGATTGAATGACACGAATTGTGCTAGCTGAAGTGTCCAGCCTAGAGTCAGGCTGTGAGAAGCATGCTGTAAGAGTAAGTAAACATTAATGGCATTGTTAATTAATATCTCAGTTCTGTCCACTGTAAATGCCTCCATTAGCTCCCCTTGACTTTATTAGATTCATTGATTAATAGCTTTGGGCTCAACACACAATTCCATTAGGAAAAATGCAGAAGAACTAGGAGGAAAGACATAAATGGTGATGAAAGTGTGTTAAGTCGACCTCGGTCCAGCTTCAGGAGTCTACATGCAAGCGTATGCAATCTCCCAAAGTCTCCTAACTTCCGAAGATGGGAAAAGACACTCTCCACCTGCTGCCTGGTCAAGACCACCAAACTTCACAGGACCAAAAGAGCAGGCCAGAGGAAACAAGATGCTGTAGCCTCTTAACTGGAGAGGGAACACCAGGTTCACACCCTTGTTCTCACGATTATGTGCCATGACACGTGAAACATAAAAAACAGTCCATCGAGCAAGGAGGGAAGCTGAACGCCACCTTCCGGCTGCATATCCTCACTACTAGACAAGACAGAGTAGCCAAGCCAATTTGCAGCAGCTCTCCCCAGGCTCTGCAATGTCTGCTGCACTCAGCTGCATACATGTATTGCCATCTGCCGGAGACCAGTGAGACTGCGCTCAAGTCCACAGACTTCAACACATCTGGCACCAAGCAAACAGAGCATCAAAAAACTTCGGCTGGAAGAGATTAACATAAAATAAGGAAGGCCATTTGCAAGCATCTGGAGGAGAAAAGGCTGATCACAAGCAGCCAGCATGGGTTTATGAACAACAAATAGTGTCCAACAAACAAAGTTGTTCTTCTTTGACAAAGTAACTGCTTGGGTGCATGAAGGGACCGCTGTGGATATGGCGTATCAGGACTTGGCAAGGCTTTTGACACGGTCCAGCACAACCTTCTTGTAAACATATTGGAGAAATGTGGATGGGATAAAACTACAAAGGCGGAGAGACCACTGGTTCACTAGCCACAAGCAAAGGGTGATAATTAATGGGTCTGTCAGAATAGCAAGAGGTTTCGAGAGGAGTCCCACAGGGATCTGTCCTGGCCCCACTTGTTCAACATGTTTATTCATTATTTGAACGCTGGCATTGAAAACTTGTTGAGCAAGTTTGCAGATGACATGAAACTGGGAAGGATTATGAACACACTGGAGGATGTGAGCACAAGTAAGTCAGAAGGATCTTCATGGATAGGAAAGTTGGGCTAGAGCCAACAG